CCTCAATCTTTCCTGCAGGAGTTTGAAACCTCAACAAGCCCAAAATATCAAAGTACAGACAAGTCACCTAGTTAATTCAATCTCATAAAATATCTGACTATTAATTATGCATGTGAGCAGGGTATACAGCCATCTCAACATCAATAAACTAGCCTTGCAAAGTCTGTTTTCTAGCTCAAGTGCTCAAGGGAACAATCCTCGTGGACAAATGATTCACTCACCAGAGTATTTTAGAAATGGGGAAAAAAATCTGCCAGCCTGTAGTGTATGTTATACCGGGACTTAAGCCTGCTCTAGATTTATGTTTTAGCAATGACTGCAAGCTCCAACAGCACATGTCCTTGGTTAAAGAGCTGTCAGGTATGGGACAAGGGGAACTTAACACAATCACTTAACACACAATTTAATTGGTCAGATGAGACCCTGGGAAAGAAACCTGCAGACAGGCAACAGGTTGTTAGGCATAGCTCCTTTCTGCCAAGGATGGCAGAGGCAGGAGCTCCTTCTATCCTGGAGGAAGGGGCTGTGCTGCCTGCGACACATTGTATTCCCCCAGCCTGTGCTGGTGCAGGCAGCAGCCACGGACAAGGCAGCGCTTCTGCTCCTCTCTACCCTGTTGTTTGCTAGGAGTATCTGTTCCTGGGAGGATCTCCCACAGAGCCCGGGGGGCAGCACAGCTGGCGGCAAGCAGGATGGAGAGTGGAAGTCAACGTACCTTCATCTGGCCTTATGTCCGGCCTCCTAGCATCTTTCCCATCGTTCTTATCATCAAGGGCATCAGCCAAGTCAAAATCCATAGGATTCTTTGCTAGAAAACAACATGGGGGTTAGCGGTGCTGGTCAACAGGCTGGGTTGTTCTTCAATTAATTCATAGAATTAAAAAACATAAAAAACATAGAATCCTAGAACGGTTTGGGTTGGAAGGGACACTAAAGATCATTTAGTTCCAACCCCCTGCCATGGACAGGAACACCTTCCACTAGAGCAGGTTGCTCCAAATCCCGTCCAACCTGGCCTTGAACACGGCAAGGGATGGGGCAGCCACAGCTTCTCTGGGTAACCTGTGCCAAGGCCTCATGGAAATGCTCAGCTTTGCCAGGGAAAAGTGCTGGTGAATGAGATGAAGCCCCCAACACAAGCATCTCCCCTGGTTTTGCTGTGCAGCGTCATGGCAGACCTTCCAATCCCATCCTGATTCACGTGTGGTGAGAAACATCACGTTCTTCCCATGGAAAGAGTCCCACAGTGTGGCTCAAGTGCCAGGCAGTCAGATAAATGAAGCTGGGTAGAAAAGGTCAGAGCCAAAGAAGTGCTCCCAAGGGTGGAGGGAAAGGAGGCATCTATGCCGCGGTGATGTGCCAGTTGGAGCAGCCTGTGACTTGATGGCTTGGTGCTGTTTTCCTCTGTGAACGGCCTGGTTGGTACCCTGAGCACCCTGGCTCTGACAGATCAGCTATTACCTTTCGTAAACCGTGGCTAAAACCATGGCCTAGAGGCAACCCGAGCTCCTCACCCCTCCTGCCAGCTTGCACCAAAATTGGTTTTTGAGGGGTTTTTTTTTAAGCCTGGGAGTGCCTTTTGCCAAAACTCTGCCTGAGCCGGCAGCAAAGCGCTCGCTGGCAGGGTGTCCTGGTGGGATGGTGTGCTGGTAGAGCCTGCAACAGCTGTGTTGTGCTGTGCTGTGTGGAACAGCAAGGCTACAGACTTAAAACAGGCAGAGGAATGCAAAAGGGTCCAGGAATTGCTGGGATGCCCATGAAAGTGCAGGGCAAAGCCAAGATATCCTGTCTGCTGTGTGGTTTTTGCTGGCAATGCTGCCATCATGGCACGTCCCTCTGCCCATGCCAGCAGTGGAGCTGGGAAGGAGCCACAGGGCTGAGGTGCTCATACTCACCTGGGTTATGTTTTGGGGGGAGGCCTGTAGTTTTTGGCTGCTTGGTTGTAGTGTGGATGACATCCCAAAAGTTGCTGTCTGAAGGAAGAGGGGGGAAAAAGATACCAAAATGACGTTACTCTGAAACATGCATTTGGTTGAGTGCTGGGGGGGGGGAACCCCCTCCCTGAAGGGGGACAGAGGCTGTCCTGGGGTGGTTGGTTCCATGCTCTGGGCCCTACACAGCTTCAGCTGCCCCTGACACCAGGGAGCCCACTGCCTGTTGGTGCCCTGGGGATGCTCAAGTCCTTGATGTGAGTGGCAGGTGCCTTTGCAGGGATGCCCTGAGCCATGGTACGTGCCAGCAGGTATTGAATTTGGGAAGGGGACATGCAGGGCTGCCAGTGTGAAGCCAGCCCCACACCACCCCTACCAGCTACCCATGGCACACAGGAGCAGAACCAGGCACTGCCAAGAAGATGCTTAAGGATGTGTGGTATAGATGTTCTATTTCATAGATGAAATTGGTAAATGAAAACAATCCTGTCCAGAGCCCCAAGGCAAACACACATGTACCCTCCCCAGGGCACAGGGAGCTCCACAGTACCTGGCTTCCCTGGCCTGAGGAAGGGCTTTGGAGTCGGCTTGGCTGGTTTGGTGGTAGTCTCCGGAGTGGTGTCAAAGTAATCAGCCAAATCAAAGCCTGCTGCAGGAGAAAATGAATTGTTAAAACACCCATTGCTTGTGGGGACAGTGAGATGCTTTCAGCAGCAACCCCTGCATAGCAGCTCTGCAGATGCTGTTGCACTACTACTGGAGGCCACAAGTGCCTGTGTCAGCGTGGAGCCGAAAAGGGCATACAGCTGCTCCGCTGCTCAATTACAACCATGTTGCAGAGTCTTCAGATCAGCCTGGACATCGTTTAATTCCTCCTCCCTGAGCTGTGGCTCCTGCCCACCCCAAGGCTGAACAACCCCAAAATAACACTTTTTGGGCATCTTCTGGTGCAGATGAGAAGCTGCTGTGGGCATCGAGCTAGTGGCTGGGCCCTGCTCTACTCCTGCTGGCCACCCATGAGTGACCCTGGGCTGAACAGAGCACAGGAACCCACTGCAGGAGCCCTTGGTGCCATCACTCATCCAGAAAGCACTCCCCAGGGAAAAATAAACTCGCCGAGATGAAACATCAGCCTCACTGTACGTCCATTTCCCAGGGAATGTTTATTGGATCAAACAGCCTCTTGTTCAGGCTGTGATCCAAACCGTGCACCTGTGCACATGCTTCTGGCTCTTGGCTCTTCTTGTCCCTAGCAAAGACCATGGTGGCCAAGAAGCTGACAGTCGGATTTGCTTAAATTTGTGCCAAGATCCTGATGCAGGGGTGAACAGATTCACTTCCGAGCACTCCCCCGCTGCAGGTTATTTCAGGCTCCCCCAGCAGGGTTGAGCAACGCTCGGCTCTTGTGACCATGCTATATTTAAGTAGGTATATTTGGCCAGAGCTGAGCCAGAGGAGCTGCCGGCAGTGAAACTCAGGTGAATTTAAGGACTTTCCTCGGCCAGGACAGATGCTGTGGAGCTGGCCAGCCAGCACATCTGATGGGCACAGTCAGAGAGATGTTCTTTCCTTGGGTGGGGAAATGTCACCAGGCTGGGCTTTTCTGTGGAGGTTGGGGATATCTTGGAGTAAAACAAGGAAGGAAAATATCCTCTGGGCTCCCTCCTGGAAGGGAAGCTAGCAAGTGCCATTCAGCCAGAAACAAAAGCCCTTGCATAGCTGACAGTGATTTGTGCCTTTTCCATTATGATACTGCAAACTGTGCAAAATTCAGCCTTGGCCACGAATGCTCCACTGCCACTCACCATCAGCATGGACAGAAATATCAATATTGCATTTACTTTGGCCCTGCAGGGGAGTGCATGTACACACACCAGTGCCAGCCTTCTTACGGGCAAGTGAAGGTATCCCACGGCAGCACCAGCCACACATGGGCAACCTGCAGTGGGGCTCACATGATTCAAATCCCCCTGGGAAGCAAACCCGACATTGTGCTTAAATGATACACACACAAGAAGGTCTCACCTGTATCACCTGCTGGCTTCCTGGGGCCCTTGGGAGTCGCTGTGACAAACCAGAGGAAAATGTTAGTCACGGACATCACTGAAAACAGATCACTTCTGTCTGAGAATAAACGGCCAAGATTTCACCACAAGCTTTCCAGCTGAGCATCGCTAGTCTGCGTTTGTAAACTCAAGAGCCCAGAGCCCCAGCACCCTGCAGGACTGAGCCCAGAGCTCTGCAGGGTGCAGCTATGCCTGGGGCTGAACGCTGCCTCTATGCAGGCCGGCATCCCGCCAAGCCAAAAGCAGGGAGCTGTGATAAGCTGCTCCCAGTTAAGACTCCTGGAGACATCAGCACAGACACATACTGTACAGAACAGTGTGGAAAACAAGAGTAAGCTGCCAGGGTTTTGCTGTCCCCTGCCCCATTGGTCAGTTAAATGACAGATAATTTCCAGCTCTCAGTTATGGATGAGAGGTTCCCTGTCAGCTAGAGGAGTTTTGGTGGCACCCTGATGCTCAGATCCCAGCTCCCCTGGCCGCTCCTGGGCTAAAACAAGCCTTCGGAGGGAAGGATCATTTGCTTTTTTCACCCCCTGTAAAGGACTATCTATTAATAGTGATGACCATTGCCAAGTATATGAATAAATTATGAGCAAGTGTTGCGGCTGCTCTATTCCCGTTAACTTCCACTTGCACCCCTGAATACTGGAGTGTTTCTGCTGGGCTTGTTTTTCAGTGTGCTGGTATAGTGGGATGCGACCCAACTCCAGATCCTTCATTGACATGTTCAGTGTCACTGCTACATCAAATCAGTGCCATGCCTCTGTGTTTTGCACTTGAGAAACGGGAAGTGAAGGGCATGTGGGCAGCAACTAGCTTCTCCAGGCCCATTCTCAGTCCTACCATCCGGCAAGCCCAGCTGGACATTGCATCTCCTCAGGCAGAGATGTTGAGCCTGTATCCTCCACAACCTTCCTACCAGCACCAGATCCCAAAGAACAAACTGCATCCATGAACATCTATTTGTTTTCTCCTCTTTAAAAGAATAAATAAATGTGACTTACGTCGCTTGGTGCTGAGTTCATACAGGGCATCTTCTAGGCTGAAGTCACCTGGGTTGTCCCCATGACCTGGAGACAAAGAATCAGCAGTGGTTGTACTTGCTCCGCACAAAGCAAACTGCCTTTAAATACAGCATGGTTAGATTAATTTGCTCAAATTGCTTTAGTTTTTTGCTGTTTTTTTCCAAGCCTGACCCATCATCAGAGATGAGGAAGACATCAGCCTTCTCCGAATGCTGTGACTGTTAAATTGCAGAGCAGTCATCTCTGGATTTTCCATTTGTCTGCCCTAATGGATGCAGTATAAAAACACGTGCTATGCTTAAATTCATCAAGGAAAGCCTACCAATTCATCTCTTGAGCTGCCACTCATCTGTGGCTGTGCTCACGATTAATCACGATATGTTTGCTAAACACCATGAAAACATTGGGACAGCGCAGACAAACTGGGTGAAAACCAAAAAAGCCCTCTGCACCTCTTCTGCATGAATGCCTTCCAAAATCAAAGGCTCCGCATGAAAATGCTGCTACTGGCTGCCAAGCACAACTTAGCATTTCACAGACCACCCGCATCACTCTGCCTTGGTAATGCAAACCAGGCCCAAACCCCCATCCCAGGGATACACCTGACAGGGACAGACAGGGTTTTTTGTTAGATGTCTCACCACAACTCCAGTCATTTTATAATATCCCGGGTGTAACTCAGCACTATGCCGTGTTCTCCTGCAACAGGTCCAGCTAATCCTTCCTTTCTCTGTCCTTTTTATACGTGGTGTTAATTACTGTTGACTTACCCTAGTTCTGAATGTATTTGTCTTGATAAATTCATGCTTTTACATCCTAGAGCATGCTGAGTGATTAATATCCTTTGGGTTTGCTAAGTACTGCAGCACCGCAAGAGAACATTAAAATGGCTTTCCTCTTATTCCTACTGCTAAATGGATTTAGCTATTGCCACCTGAGCTCCAGCGTGCTTCATGAATAAATTTAAAGCTTTACTGACAAGGACAATAACAACAGGAAGGCACCAGTCCATCAGAAACCAGGTATCAGCGTTTTGGTGAAAAACTTCTATTGAGAGTGGTCACTACGTACTGCAACACCTCCAGCTCAGTTTCACTCACACATCACACCTCGTTTCATTTGCTGTTTATTCAGATGTACGCTCAGCAAACCCAGGGTCAAGTTGAATGGCTGTAAAGTTGCTATGGGCTTCTCTCCCCTGGCAAAGCACTTGGTGTGCAGCTGCTGCTGGGGGTAAGTAACAAACACATGTCCCAGCCCATGGCTATGTTTCTCATTGAGCTGAAGGATGCCAATGCTTCCCCTATGAGCCTGAGGGATGGCTGCCAGCGGGTCACCCATTGCAGGTGGAGCCCAGTTACCACTGTGTGAAATCCATGGAGTGCGGCACATGGATGAGCCCCTTGCTCCATACAGCAGCATGGCAGGGCTGTGCTCAGCACCCTCAGCCTCCCCACACACCCCTCTGCTCCCTTGCCACACTATTTGCCTCTTGGGCCTTATTGCTGGTGAAATGTCACCATGAGACAGGCCAGATGAAGCTGCAGGGTTATCCAGTGGTCTAAGTGCAAAGGAGCAAAGTAGGGAACAGGCAAAACCATCCATGGTGCCAAAAAAACCCACAACTGCCCAGCTTCAGTGCTTGGATGGGTGCTGCTAAATCACCAGCATGTCTCTCCTGAGAACCCACAAGCTCATTACTGCTGTGGCCAACTGTCACAAGCTTGCTACTCCGTCAATTTCATGCAGGCTCCCTTTCCCAGCACGGCTTTTTCCCCAGTGTTTACTGGATTTTCAGGGCTCTGTCACTGTCCTTCTATTGTAAACTGTGTTTAAAAAAAGGTGGACGGGGAAAACTGCGGCGTGTCTCTGGCAGGATGAGAAGCACTACAAACGCCACTGGGGAAATGCACCCTCACTACGTTTCATTTCAGTTCCCCCTACCTCTGCAGCAGGCAGGGCAAGCTAGCAGGAGAGATGTGGTGGCAGCACCATGACTCACACTGGTATGACAGGAGCCATACCTTCCCTCTCCCCGCTGCTCCCTCTGCTCTCTCTGATTAAATAGATGTTAAGGGTGCTGATTTGCTGCATGCTGAGTCCTGATGTTACCGCAGCACCTTTGATGCATAAGCTCAAATACCAAGTGAGGGCAAGTGGGTGCTCATGGGAGTGTATGGAGACATCCCCCTGGTGGGGACACAGGCCCTGCAGAGAATGTGAATACCCCAAAAAATGGGGTCCCCCCAGCCTGGCCTTGGAAGGCTCATGGGACCCACTGGCTGAGCAGTACTCACACCTCCCTGGGTTTGGTGACAGCTTCCCTTGGCATCTCTCCATGCAGGACAAGAGGAGTGTGGCACTTCCAAAATCACGCTCCAAAGAGCCAGCTGGCACATGAGTGGGTCCCATGGGTGAAAGGTGCTCAGGGCCCTCCATCCTCAGGGGACTGATGTAAAACAGCAAGCGCTAACATGTCCTGGCCGCAACTGCCTCCCAGGGGAATCCCACCCTGCTAGGGAGAGGCATGCACGCAGCCCATGTGAAGGTTAGGAAAACTGCTGACATGCTGAATCACCTGGGACAAACTCCCCTAGGAGTTGCATCATTTAGCACAGCCCATTTCCCAGGGCTTTCCCACTGCTGCCCACGGCAAACCGAAATCCTGTTCCAGGGCGATTTAAACCCTGGAATCCCCTAGGCATTGGTGAGGATTAGTAATAGATTGCCAGTTAATTGAAGCTGACAACAACTTTATTTCATACAAAGGGTGTTATAGAGACATATTACACCTTTTATGGATCAATAACAGTGCTGCTGTAAAAGGCACGCAAACTTGCCTGCTCGCTCTGACAGATAAGAGCTGAATGCTCTCCTCCTTATTCTTTTATTCAGTTATTAGGTGGTAACAAGCCCAGCACTTCTCAGCAAGATGCTTAAAACCCAACCAGCCCTTTGCATGTGTGTTCACCTTGCAAATGCAGGTTTTTGGGAGGCAGCGCTCCTGCTCCCTGCACTGTGTTGTGCAAATCCCTTTGCTCCTGGAGCCCTGGTCCAGCTCCATGATCCCTGGAGGAGCGGGTTTCCCAGATTCCAAAAGCCCATCCTCTGACAGGAACCCACACACAGCAGAGAGAATCTTTGTATGACGGGTTTACACTCTCTGAGAGAAGCTGGAGCATGTTACTCCATACTAGAGCTCACAGGCAGCCCGCTGCTGAGTTGCAGTAAGTGTTTGTCTGTAGTGCAGGCTCAGCAATCAGGGTCATGCATGCCCTGATGTCCCACCTCCACTGCAGGATGTACCCACGCAGCCTGCAACCTGTTACAGGGCTGTAAACCCGCTGATACACAGACTTGTCCCTCACTGGTTGCTTGGTATTGGGGGACCAGCTTGGGATCTTCGCCAGGGTTTATGACTAGGCTAGTTTGGGTTTTCTTTTCCCCCACCATTGCAGCAGGGCCTTGAAAGAACTCTTCTCTCTGGTTGCTGGGAGAAAACACACATCCCCGGGGCAGCTGGGAGGCGATTCAAGCCCTCTGTGTCAGCTGGCCAAGGGCACTGGGGCATCTGCAGGCCTGCGGGTCTATGGCAGGGGGAAAATGAGCAAATGAAATGTATTTTCCGTATTTTTCTTTAATGTGACAATCTAAAGAAACTGAGCTGGGACATCTCATGGTACCTAACAGGAATCTCACAACACCTGAGTCAGGGGTACCCACTGGCAGCTGAGCAGGTGGAGGGTATAAAAGAGAAGTAAGTTATGGCCAAGCCAGCTTCCTTGCCTCTCCCTGACTCCCCTCACCTCGCTGGGGGTATTTTTAATCAGAGCTAGCTGCTCTTTGAAGGTAGAAGGGTTTTGTGCCATTAATGTATTCTCTCCTCATTATTTTCTGTAGCAGGCAGCTCAAACATGCAATTGTACTAGTCAGCTTTTTAGCTTTTACAATTATATATATATTCTAATTAAGCCCTACTGTTTGACAAAGCTTGAATTACAGTATCATAATTCACACCCAGTACATTGCTAGGCTGTCTGCAGAACTCAGAGCAAGGTGTATTCCATTTTTAGCGCCAGCCCACAGATCTCTTTGTGCAATATATATGTGTTTAGTTTCCCTGGGAATTGAGAGCCCGCAAGGGTAGGAGATTGACGTCCCAGGAGATTCCGGGAGAATGCAAAGCAGGTACAAGGGCAGTGGACAGTTATTCAAACTGCCTGACTTTTATGCAGCTACCTTAGGAGCAACACAGAGGGCAGAAGAACAGGAGGAAAGAGAGTGCCAAGGGAATCAAAAGCATCAGGGACTCCCCAGCAACCAATCTGGGTGTTTTGGCTCTGAGTTATGGTGTTGGCACACACAGGTGGTTCCCTGTGCAGGGCACCCACAGCTGCGCTGGCACCACTGGGTAGGCTGCCGGGGATGGAGGGGTGCAGAGCCATCTTGCACTGCTGGTGGTGCATCCCTGCAGTGGCGTTAAATGCTTTCTCAGCAGAGATACAGCCCCAAAGGTCTGTGGGGAGCAAACGGCTGCTCCTCCACAGGTGAAGTCTGTTCTGCCTCTGGCTGCACCAGGGGTCCCCAGGGACCTCCACCACTGCCTGGGTGCTGGCCCAAGCCACCAAGCACCCAGGAAATTTACTTGCAAGTGCCACATTGCTTGCAAATCTTGAGCTCTTGCTGACTACTAAGACCAAAGCACAGTTCTATGTGTGTAGGGAGAGCAGAGCTCTTTGAAGCTGTGGTGTTAAGAGAGTCTCTGGGAGCAGCTCTGGCTAGCCAGGTGGGTAAGGAGAGCTTCACGCAGCTGCATTCTCTCCAGAGACGTGCCCAGGCTGTATCCTGAACACAGACCTCCTCCTGAAGTTAGTTCTGCCTTGAAAAGCAGGCTCTGAACTTTCTCCATCTCCTTGGCCACTGCCAGGGAAGACAAGAGGAGATGCCCCTGCACAAACATCTGTAAGCAGTCTGCTGGGGCAAGGGGAGGCAGGGCTCTGCCTGGGGGTGAAACTCAGCCCTCTGCAACCATCACAGCAGTGAGACAATGTCTGACACTGGGGGTACATCACCCCAGCCCAGGGCATGGCCAAGCAACAGTGATGGGGCACAGCCCCTGGCTGGGATGGCCCCTGCTCCTGGCAGGGAACACAGGGTAACTAATGCTGTCATCCTCGATCTCCATTCCCAGTGAAACATTTTGATTTCCAGAAGTACTAATCAAAATCATTCTTGATTATAGCAAAAACAACCTCTGCTGACTTTTTTTTTTTTTCTTAATGCAATTAACAAGGGTATATGGTAATTCCAAGCAATCTTGCTCTTGAGATTAAAGGAAAGCCTGCCAGGAAGCACATGAATAAAGCTTTAAGATGAGAATTTGCATAATGAAGAATTTCTCTTTGTGAAGAGACTAATGGTGGTTATGTTTGAAACCTATTAACAGAAATGCCTAAAAGCCTCTGCTAAAGCCACCGTGCTGCCACCGTGACCCACGCAGGCTCTGCCACCACCAATGCCTTCCACACTGCTGGATCCCTGCTGGGAATATCAGCTCCACAACACCCCAGTGTGCCCTTGCCTTGGTGAGCCATGCCGGATGGGGCAGGATGGGCAGTGCAAGCACGGCTGCCTACAGCGCAGGGCAACACGTCTTGTGTTTTAAGCCACAGCGTAGTTCTGCGTTTCTGTGCTGGATGAGAAGCAGATGACTGTTGCAATCTGATTTCAAGGCTTACTAGGAATTATTTTGAATTGTTTGGCAGCAGCACTATATGCTCAGCACCCAGCAACATGGATGGAGGCGGTGAGGAAAACGTGACCCGCAAAACCAGCCTGCATCAGGTGGGCTCCAGGCTCCTTCCAGCAGACACCATCAGCACTGGGACAGAAAGGTCATGGTGAGCAGAAAGCAAGCCCTTGCTGCGAGCTGCCTTGCGAGGCACTGGACACTCGAGGGTTGGCAGTGCCCACCTGCACTGCGCCATGCTGAGGGCTGTCCAAAGGTCCAAACGCATCTTTTCCCCACCTCAGGTGGAAGGACAGACCTCCAGGTTGCTCCCAAAGCACCCAAAGAAGCAGTGCTGCCTCATACACCTTGCAGTGCTACACCAGCCGCCAACACCGGCAGCTGCCTGCACGTCACTGCAGAGAACAGACAAAAACCACACTAGAGAGGAGTGTCCCATCTGCTGCCATCTCACACAGCCTTTCTCGCTTCTCCACAGCAAGACTTAAAACCTGGAGGGCAGTGCCCTCATTGTCTCTTTCCCAGCAGCTGCATTTGGTAACCAGCTCACAGAGGCCTGTGGTATTTATCAGATGCCTGCATGGGCACTGCA